GGCAGTTTTTGTTTCTACTGGGGTATGTGGTTGTCAGCATGGTGCCACCATTGAGCTTCTTGCGAAGGTGCCAGGTGTACCCACTACTGCTTCTGCACCGTCAGCACAGATTTCAACACAGTGAAAAAAGTCAAAGTTGGCCAGGTGTGGTGGCTCATGCCTGTAATCCTGGCACTTTGGGAGGCTGAGGCAGATGGATCATGAGGTCAAGAGATTGAGATCATCCTGGCCAACATGGTGAAACCCCGTCTCTACTAAAAATACAAAAATTAGCCAAGTGTGGTGGCGCACGCCTGTAATCCCAGCTACTCAGGAGGCTGAGGCAGAAGAGTAGCTTGAACCTGGGAGGTGGAGGCTGCAGTGAGCCAAGATCGTGCCACTGCACTCCAGCCTGGATGACAGAGTAAGACTCCGTCTCAGAAAATAAAAAAGTCAAACTTTTAGCATCACCGCCCCCCCGGCAGCCTCTAAAGGAGGCCAGGTATCTGTAATCCCGATTTGGATGAGAACCCTGACTTAGAAGGTAAGAGACTCTACATTTCCTAATTTGGGGTCTACTGCAGGCTCCAGAGGCTTGAACCCTACGAAATCATGTGAAAGCTGCAACATAAGTAAATTTTCAGATTTTTAAGGGTGCAACCCCAAACCTTAACTCCTTTTTTTTTTTTTTTTTGAGGCGGAGTTTCGCTCGTTATCCAGGCTGGAGTGCAATGGCGTGATCTCGGCTCACCGCAACCTCTGCCTTCTGGGTTCAGGCAATTCTCCTGCCTCAGCCTCCCGAGTAGCTGGGATTACAGACACGCGCCACCATGCCCAGCTAATTTTTGTATTTTTAGTAGAGACGGGGTTTGACCATGTTGACCAGGATGGTCTCGATCTCTTGACCTCGTGATCCACCCGCCTCGGCCTCCCAAAGTGCTGGGATCACAGGCGTGAGCCACCGCGCCCGGCCCCCCGTAACTCTTTAGTTACTGTAACAAAGCAGCTTTACGGTTACTAGGTTGAGATTTATAAAAGCTACAGTTAGTCAGTTTTGCTACTGGTATTCTGACTATCAGGACAAGGTCCATGCCCGAGAAACAGATAAACTAGATAATTTAACTGAAAAATCAGGTGGCTGGTTATTTTTAAATATGGCTGAAATTAATGATGGAGTGGGTATAACTTGGGCCTGGGAAACCGCACGCCAAGAGCTGGCTTCCTGGGAATTGCTCCTCACCACCTGCATCTCTCTGAACCCAATAAGCCTTTTTATCTGAAGAAGAAAAGGGTCAGGCTGGACGATCAGCATGTTCCTGTTAATTTCTAGGTCTAAAGTCGATGATGTATAAAAATACACAACACACAAGGAGATGCTCAACATAACTGGTTGTGGGGAAATGCAAATCAAAACCACAATCAGATACATTTCACACCTACTAGAATGGCTGTAATGGAACAGATACTAACAAGTGTTGGGGATGCTGGAGCCCCCATACACTGCTGAATGGAAAATGGTGCAGCGACTCTGAAAACAGTCTGGTAGTTCTTCAAAATGCTGATGTTACCATATGACCCAGTGACTCCACTCCTAGGTATATGCCCAAGAGATATGAAAACCCATGTTCATACAAATGCTTGTATATCAATGCCCACAGCAGTCATTCATAACAGCCCCCAAATGGAGATAATCCAATGTCCATCAACAGATAATATGGATAAATAAAATGCAGTACAACTTTATCATGGAATATTATGGGGCAATAAAAAGAAATGAGGCACTGACACAGGGATGAACCTTGAGAACATGATGCTAAGTAAAGGAAGGCTGATACCAAAGGGTACGTAGTCTATAATGCCATTTCTATGAAATGTCCACAAAAGGCAAATCCAGAGACAAAAAGTCGGTCAGTGGTTGCTCAGAGCTGGGGGTGGGTGAGGGAGGAGGGAACAATGACAGTGACTAGATTTCTTTTTGAGGGAATGAAACTTCTAAAATCAGATGTGATGATGGTTGTACAATCCCGTATTCATGTTAAAAACCACTGACTCATATAGTTTAAATGGGTGAATTCTAAGATCTGTGAATAGTATCTCAATAGATCTGTTAAAACAATCATCTAGCAGTCCAGTCTAGTAAGCAGGATACTAAAAAGTAGCAGCATTAGGAGTACGACAACTACAGAGCTTTGGATTCTTCAAAAAAAAAAAAGGAAATTAATGCCTCTAAAAATATTGTGACCAAAATATAAACACCCCACCGCCAACAAGAAACAAACGAAACAGGCATGGCTAAAGTCTGCTTAAGCGCTGAGCACACAGGGCTCTAAGCCGCACAGCTTCTCATCAGAAGGCACTGCTTGGGACAGAGGCCTTGTACTGGCTGCTTAAATTCCTGACCCTCTTCTTTTAGAGGGCCACAAACCACAGCCAGGCACCACCCCACCATGTGTTCCTCCTTCTTTCACGCTACTTTTCATCAATGCTCTCTAGCTACAGAACAAAACAACAACAAACCAAAAATCCAATCTGTAACTGCCCCCATTCTACCTCCAGATCCAGACAAACAAGGGGTGGACAAAGGCTGTGCTCTCTTCTGAACTTAAGTCAGAGCAGAAAGGAAAGAAAATGAACTGTCCCTCGCTCTTACGGTGACCAGACAAGCAATTCATATACATCTATCTTCACCGGACAGTCTAATTCGTCACCAAGTTTTCACTCCGCACCTTCTTCCCACCCACGTGGGCATCAGGCAGAAATCACATTCCCAGGCTTGCGAGTCTATCCGTTTAATCTGGTTTACTTCCCTTCATGGTATTAGCGTAATCTACAATGATGTATCATTGGTTGGCTCATTTTATGGTTGTCTCCCATATGAACATGAAAGCTTTACGAGGGCAGAAATCTTGCTCACCATTTTATTTCCTCACCCAAAAATGTGCCTGGCCCATGGTGGATGCTCAATTAGTGTCTGCTGACTGCTTAGGGAGCCCGGCGTGAGGTTTGGGTGGCAAACAAGTTAAGGTGGCAGGAGGAGAATCAAGTCAGGAGACAACGATCACAGGAAGAGGAGAAGCAATGATTACGTAATCCATAAAAACAACCTCCAGGGCTTTTCAGCATCCTAAGTGGTGCCAGCAACCCATACTGCTACTGTGAAAAATGCAAACGAGAGTCAAGGGTGGGCATCTGACCTGAGCCAGGCCAACAGGAGTCTTGTCATTCTTTGCAGACTCTTCCCTCCTAGGCTGAAGAGTGGGAATCAGATATTTTCTTAAGCACAGGAAAATCTTCCGTACGTGTAAACTTAATACAGAATTTATATACTTACAAATCTAATATATAATAAAATCAAATGAGTACATGATAAGGAAGCATAAGCAATGGGGGAAATGAAATAGTCAATATATGATGTAGGGAGAATGATTTTTCAATAATTTTAGAAGAAAATAGAAAAAGAAGTTCTATCCCTAACCCACATCATTTAAAAAACTGGAATGCTCCTAACACAAAGAAATTGTAAACGCTTGAGGTGATGAAAACCCCAACTACCCTGATCTGATCATTATACATTCTATGCTTCTATCTAAATATCACATATACCTCATAAATAAATACAGATTACATATCCATACTTAAAAATAACTTTTTAAAAAAAGAAAAAAAAGAATTATAAAATGTAATGTGCAAAACAAAACTAGGAAACAGGAGAAAATATTAGAGATTTTTATGATTCTGGGGCTAGAGTGGCCTTCCAAAGTAATTGAGGGTTGAAATTAATGAAAGAAAAAGAGATATTCCCCAAGTGTCATTAGTCTGAGCTCTGCTCAGTTTCTGCTTATAACTATTCCTCAGGCACAAGTCTGGGACAGGAACCGACACGGCTGACTACACGGAGGCCATGCTGGGGAATTCTGAACTTTAAGAGTTAACGACAGTAAGTTAAAAAGAAACAAGTTGATCTCAACCTCTGACACAGTTAGACTGAACTACAACAAAGAACATTACTTTCATGTTTTTCCAAAGCAAATATGCTAAGGAGGAAATATAAGTATTTTAGGCCAAGAAGTCTAGTCAATTCTGAAATACATAGCTTTGGGGAAAAAAAAATCAGTAACTTAACAAAGAGTTCAATGAAAACTGGATTTAACATTTTACACTAAGCCACACTGGCTCCCCAGTAAGTGGGTGTGTAGGGTACTAGTTTTGGTAATGCCACTGAATGAAGTGCTTCCAGGTGGTGCTGACTGAAGTCACAATGGGATACAGTAAGAACAGCTGCAAACGACCTGGGAATGGGCTGTAAGGTATGACACTTGAGAGGACTGAGATGTGGGGGCTGAATAAAACCAAAAGTGAACTAACTACCGGATGTTAGACTATCTCAGCCAATCAGGACATACTGTCATTGACAGACAAATGACAGAGGAAGCACTGACAGGTGGAGGCCTTCTCAGCCAATCAGCATGGGCTCTCCTGCTCCCAGCACTGACAGGTGGAGGCCTTCTCAGCCAATCAGCATGGGCTGTCCTGCTCCCAGCACTGACAGGTGGAGGCCTTCTCAGCCAATTATCATGGACTATTCTGACACCAGCTTGGTTCTGTCAATATTTCAATTCCACCCCATCATTAGAATTTTCCTGCATATGGCAGGACAAAATGTTTACTTCTGAACTATATACGGGCACTACTATATTCATGTTTAAAAAAACAAATTTAAAGAGGATAAAGTAATAAATATAAATTCTAACATTTCTGCCCCATAGGGTAGTTGTGAGGATCAGATGAGTTAGTAAATGTAAAGCACTCAGACTGATCCCAGAAGGCACTGACTTCTCCTGCTGTTATCATCATTATGATCCAGGATACATCACAAAGACAATTCATTCTTTAAGTACAATGACACATTTTGGCAGAGAAGGATGCTTCTCCAGGGTAGCACTGTGTTAGGCTCAGATGTCTTGGCCTGCCCTGTTTATAAATCAGGACTGGGACATGCTGGTGAAACTGTCATCACTTACCATATGGACTACTTCTGGGTAAATAGGCTCTGTGATCACATTCCGATTATGGGTGATATATTCTACCATTTCACTTAGAGCAGCTCGTTTTACTTCCTTCCACTTTAGGTCACTTAGTGGATCAGAAACAAAGTCAAAGAGGACGCAACACTGACGTAACTTCTGGATAAAAAGCTTCTCTTGATCAGCAGGAGGAACATCTGAAAAGCAGAAAGCAAAGTATATTGATCGCAAAAGTGCTTCACCCAAAGTTACTGCAGAACACGTTTAAGCTTCTATTTTTATTTTGAATAGAGATTCAAGAAAAAAGGAGATGGGGTGGGGTAAACAAAGGTTAATATTCCTTGAAGAAAATAAAAAGAAAAAACCCAGCTAGTCACTGGTCATATTATATATTTGATATGCTGACATTTCCATGCTTTTTAACTCTTTCAAACCATGTCGAGAGCACTGTTAGAAATAAATTCCATCTACATGTGTTCATTCAACAAATACTGCCTGAGCAGCAGTCATCACAGGCCCGTGTTGGGCAATGGAAGGAGGCAACCAGGAAGGACCACGCCTGGGCAAAGGGCGTGGACACATTCACATCTCGTGATATCTGCAGAAGGTGGGATCGGGCAAGGTAAAAAAGACCAGAGCGGGAAGTGTGCCTCCTTACGTCTGTCTAGAGGCTCTCAACTTACAAAAGGGGAAGGGTAAGTGGTTGTCCACTCTGGCTAGATGACAAACAGCGACTGGCATTGGCACAAAGATGGTCAAAGCCAACTCTTACACACATTCGAAGAGTTACCACCTTAGAGCCGCACGAGGCACACTGCATTCCCCTCAGGCTGGTCTACAGTCAGGGCATATCACACGTGCTGACTGACGTCAATGACAACGGCGATTCAGAAGCAGCAATAACGGGAACTGGGCCAGAATCACCCTAAAACTTTACACATACTGACACTGTCTTTTCATTTAATCTTTATAATAACACGACAGAGCTAAAGAAAGAGGTTTAGAACATCGCTGCAGGGTTGGCAGGTGGATGAAGCTAAATTCGAAGAAAGCTCTGAATGACTGTCCAGACTTCTGGGAAGTCTGGAAAACTTCTATCTGCCAGTGTGAACTTGACAGTTTCCTTGGGTGAGAGGAGATCAGTGGTGACATTAATGAATGGGACTTACTGATATACATACTGATATGTGTCAAAGATTTGCAAAATGTTTTAGGAGATTTGCATAACTTGATTAACAAGCATTTTCCAAACGATTAATAAACAGTGTTAACACCATTCCAGGCAGAAGAGCCAAAGTGCAAAGTACCATTTGATTTAATGGAATAAAATTTACAGACAGCTCTCACTGACATGGTTTCAGATTCCACATTACAGATTCCTTTAAGAAACTACTCATGCTAAGTTTTGGTGTTGTATCAAAGCAAATGCCCACAGCTATCCGAAAAGGCTACTACAATACTGCTCCCTTCCCAACCAAGCTTTTCCCACACCTCAACCAAAGCAGCACATGGCAACAGACTGAATGCAGAAGCGGACAGGAGAATCCTGCAGTTAATGTCTCCTATTAAGCCAGACATGACAGCGATTTGCAAAAATAAAGAACGACGCAGTTAATGTCTCCTATTAAGCCAGACATGACAGCGATTTGCAAAAATAAAGAACGACGACATTCTTCGAAGTCAATTAGCTTTTGTTTTGGACAACAGGGCTATTTTTTCTTTCTTTTTGAGACTGAATCTCATTCTGTTGCCCAGGCTGGAATGCAGTGGCATGATTGTGGTTCACTGCAACCTCTGCCTCCTGGATACAAATGATTCCTGTGCCTCAGCCTCCTGAGTAACTTGGACTACAGGTGTGCACCACCACACTCGGCTAATTTCTGATATTAGTTGAGACGGGGTTTCACTACATTGGCCAGGCTAGTCTCAAACTCCTGGCCTCGAGTGATCCACTTGCCTTGGCCTTCCAAAGGGCTGGGATTACAGGTGTGAGCCACTGTGCCTGGCCAATGTGGCTAACTCATTTCTGTTAAAATGTAATAGGTTCATTATTATTTTAATAAATTAATATATACATGTTTAAACATTTCTCTGGTTTAATTTAAAATAGGTCAATAGCGATAGCTAAATTCATGTAAACAGTGCTCTTTGGGGTCCTGCATAGTTTTCAAGGAGTGTTGGGGCCCCAAGACCCACTGTCCACACCAACCTCACTCCAGGGAGTGTCCTGGGGGTGGCGGGCTTTCCTGCAGCTCCCTCGCTGCTTCTCTTCGAGCATTTCCAAGCTCCTCTTGCCCTTCCCTGCCTCTACCGTCGACTTCCTGTTGAGGTTTCTTCCGCAGGCCTTTCCTTACTGCCTAGTTGGGTGAGACTCTGAGCAAGTCATTTGGCACTTCTTAGTGCTTTAAGCAGTTAGCGATCTGCTTAGTACCTCTTACTCCCCAGCTACATGCTTTCTGAGGGCAGGTGCCACATGGCTATGGATTCTAGTTCTCTATATGCCCAAATGGCCAACATTGAGCCTTGCAAATAACAGGCACGCAGACTCTGCTACCTGAACGGACCCATTCTATAGGAAGCGATGGTTTCCCTGTTTCCTCTGCTGCGTTCAGAGATAAGAGGCAAACATACAAGTCCATGGGAGGGGATGTACTGCCTGGAAGAAACCTACAACACCATGAGAACAAACATTTGATTCCTAAACGCTCTGAGAACTCAGTGGCTGTGCAACTATTTGAAACGAGCAACTGTCATTACAATGTTCAGGACTCTTCACATTCAGATAGCCAGTCTTTTTCAATGAAAAAGGGTTTATTTTTGGAATTATCTCTTTGCCTGCCTTTGATTCTCATCAATTCTAGGCCTTTGTACCCTGATTTGCCAGGATTACCTTAAATGAGCTCATGGGTGTTGTTGCAGCCTGTGTATTTGGAGCTGTCTGGCATGCTCACGTTCTTGGTACTACAGAGAACTGAGGGCCCACCGTTCTCCCCAAGAGCCACGCGGATGTCCCGCGTTCTGGACCTGTGCACAGCTTGGCTCCTAAGGACTGGCCAGTTAAGTCCTTTAAAAGAACATGTCCTCGCCAACTCCTCCTAACAGCAGTATCAAGCCAGTGCTGTTCCACCCACCTGGAGGCGATGATGGAGATATGAGAGCTAACACAGCTTGCCAAAGGCGTCGATGCTACGAAGTGGCAGATACACACACGAGTGCCAAATGTACCCTTTTCAGGGAATCGAAAAGGATGTTGGGATCATTCCAGTGGAGTTAAATAAGTCTTATAAGCCTCAAAATGCCCTAAAAGCATCACTGGCTTTATAAACACTGTACAGTTACTGATACTCAGAATAAAGACAAAGTTATCATTCAAACACAAAAACAAATGTATTACACTTAAGAAGAGCAGAGTGGGGGAGGACTCAAGACGGCGCTGTGAGAACAACCCAGGATTGAAGCTCTCGGTGCATGCACGGAGAGGGTGAGTCAGGGCCGCATTTCCAGACGGATCTTTGTTGCCCGCAGAACGGGGAAATTCCCAGGTATAAAAGAGACAAGGGACGCCAGGCAGAGGTAGCCGGCAGCTGGTGCGGCGGGGGCCCACGCTGTAGGGGCGCTACACAGCGCTCTGCACAAAGCACACTGGTCCTGGTGCCCTGTTGAACTGGCAACCTGAGACTTGAGAGGGCTGAACTTGAGACTGAACGGGACTTGGACAGTGAGCCAGCCCAGGAGATTCCAGGGACACAGCGTTTGGGGTAATGCAGTGCGACAAACAAAACGGCGATTCCAAATGCTCCTGGTGGAGAGGTTCCCTGAGAGCGCAGCTCCGTGGGGGAGGGGCGTCCGCCATTACCGAGGCAACCTGCCCCTCCTGAGGTACACGCCCATTGCTGACGCAGCCTGCCGTTGCCGAGGCAACCCGGTACAACAGAGAGACTCCGCCGCAGGGCGTAGCCTGTGGCAGCAGGGCGGAGACCACAGCAGAAGGGCAGAGCCTGCAGCAACAGGGCGAACCTCACACCAGTAGGGCGGAGCCTCGGCAGGCAAATAGTGACTAGACTGCCTCCTAGCTGGGCAGGACAGCACAATGGACACTCACAAATAAAGCCCCAACCCCCCCAGACAGAGCATCTGAGAAAAAAAGGGTTTTTCTATGAGTTCTGCTGCAGCAGAATTAAACATAGCAGCCTAACAGCCCTGAATGAACAACAGAGCTCACAGCTCAGCAATTGAGCTCCTATAAAGTACAGACTGTCTCCTCAAGCAGCTCCCTGACCCCTCTATATCCAAAAGACTGACATTTGGCAGGCATCATTGTGGGACAAAGATAGCAGAAAAAGAAACTGGTAGCATCCCTCACTGTTCCGCAGCTGCTATAGGTGCACCCCAGACAAGCAGGGCCTAAAGTGGACCTCAGCAGTCGTACAGCGAAGGGGCTAGACGGGTAGAAGGAAAACCAAGCAACAGAAATACTTCATCATCAACAATCTGGGTGTCCATTCAGAGACCCAATCGAAAAGTCAGCAACTACACAGACGACAGGTGGATAAATCCACAAAGATGGGAAGAAACCAGCACAAAAAGGAGGAAAACACCCGAAACCAGAACATCTCACCTCCTAGAAAGGACCAAAACTCCTCACCAGCAAGGGAACAAAGCTGGATGGAGAATGACTGTGACGAAATGACGGAATTAGACTTCAGAAGGTGGATAATGAGAAACTTTTGTGAGCTAAAAGAACATGTTTTAAATCAATGCAAAGAAACTAAGAAACTTGAAAATAGATATGAAAAAAGATTCGAGGAAATAACAAGAATGGATAACTTAGAGAGGAATATGAATGAATTAAAGGAGCTGAAAAACACAATACGAGAACTTCGCGAAGCATGCACAAGTTTCAACAGTCGAATTGACCAAGCAGAAGAAAGAATATCAGAAGTCATCAATGAAATAAAACGAGAAACCAAGATCAGAGAAAAAAGCGCAAAAAGGAATGAACAAAGTCTCCAAGAAATGTGGGACTATGTGAAGAGACCTAACCTACATTTGATAGGCCTACCAGAATGTGATGAAGAGAATGAATCCAAGCTGGAAAATACTCTTCAGGACATTATCCAGGAAAATTTCCCCCACCTAGCAAGACAGGCCAACACTCAAAGGCAGGAAATACAGAGAACACCACAAACATATTCCG